TTGTTATTTTTTTTTTTTTTCTTTTTTTTTTTTTTTTTTTTTTTTTTAAATAATAGCCTTAAACTTTTCTGGAAGCATTTCAAATAAATTACATTAAACCATTTTGAATTTTATTTGGTTTGGTTGTTTGTGCAAGAAGACTACAAAAAGATTTCGACGGTGCGTACAGTGAGTCTTAACATATGTGACCAGCGCTTTTATTTTGGTTCTCTTGGAAGCGTTGCATATTTGGATCTAATTTGCTAGATACAAAATAGTAATGAAGAAACAAGTCACTGCACTCAATTCAGCGCATTCCCCAACGTTTTGTGTTATGTAATCAATTTAGCAAGTAGGTGGAACAAAAAATTAGTGTCCTGCCATCAGTTTCTCTCTCCTGATTCCTTGTGGGTCGCATCTCTACTAAATATATATTATTCCAAAACATTGAGACGATGAATTCTGGGGCACGTAAAAAGCCACAAGCCAGCCGGTGAATCTCAGAAGAATAATTTCCATTTGTGTACTATCATTTAGCATCATGTTCGACATACTGCAGTGCAGGTGTTTCAGTTTTGCTTTGTAGCTGACATGCACTTAGCAACTGATTTGATCTAATAAAGCTTAATGATGGGTTTTTTTTCAAATCATCTTCAGGAATAAGACTTCCACTTTAAGAATCCTAATATCATCCTGGATTTGGTTAGCTTGTTTTGCGTTTAGCACTTTTAAAATGCTGCTGCTTTTGAAAGAATTGCTTTTGATTGGGGGAGGGAGGCACGGACAATAAAACGTACCAAAAAGGATGGGTAAAATGTAAAATGCTGAATGCAAAGTAAAGAGGAAACATAATGTAAGTAACTATGTCAAAGTGATCATCACGGTTAGTAATCCTGATGTCAGCAGGATGGAGTCTGAGAAGCTGCAGCAGTGAAGTGGCACGCGTACTGCGGCCATGCAGTACGCATAGGCCTCTGCATGGTTCTTACGCAGAAAATTGCTTCTGATTTCTCAGGTCGCCCACCATTGCACGTATAGTGCTTCCACTACGGAGAGAGCGCAAAGCTGTGTAATCTTCGTATTGGATCTCTGAGGGATCTTGGATCACTCGTGTCTCAGACGGAAGAGTAGTGCCATGGCAAGGAAGTGAACGAGAGCGGGTGGAGTGTGTAAAAAAGGCAAGAGGCAGTGAAGAGCTGGAGGCGTCAAGGGCTTCCGAGACCGCCATGAGGGGGTGGCAAAATAAGGAGAGGACTGCAGATGCTGGTGAGTTCCAGCTCCTTTAAATCTGAGGTGTGAGTACTCTGGATCTCATGGTCTGGGAGAAGAGTGAGTGGCGAGGCATCTTGCTCTCGAGAGCAGGAAGCCAGTAGTCTGATGTGAGAGCTTCGTACCTTTTTGACAAATCTTACCAACCTGTTGGCTCTTGTATTCCTGGTAGGAGCAGACAGTCAGGGTAGTCTTGGCTTGTGGAAAGATCTGATGAACCAGAAGTAATAACGGTAAAAGCATAGATTGTCTTGACTGAGAAAGAAAGGTAAGCAAAGAGAATGTCCTTGAAGTGTTTGAAATATATGGGTCCCCCGAGACTACGAAAGAAAATGTAACTGTGGTCTTTGGTTCCCTAGATTTGGTCTGCAGCACTGAAAAGAACAATGCAGGATGAAGACCTGTCTCCTGGAACAGAAAGGTCTGCTATGAGACAGCAGGAGCACCTAGTTTGAAGTCTGTGAAGCTCAGTACCAAGGAGTCAATTGCCAGAATCTGGGTAAAAGGCCCAAAGTTGAACTCCAAGGTAGACAAGGTATTTCTCAGGGGTGACTCCTATTCAGCATGACCCAGCTGACCCAGGGATACTGCCTTAGGAATGCCTCTGCAATAGTGAGAAGCAGGTTTCACAGAAATTTCTAGAGTTTGAAAGATATATCAGAACATGTAGATGTCAGTTTAATCAACTGCTGGTTTTGAAAAAGTTGATGTTTTAGGGTGACACTGTCTGGTGCTTAGATCCTGGGAATCCAGACTGTCTGCTAACAGAGCCAGAAACTGAGTTCCACATATATGGAAGAAGGTTTGTTTCCTTTGAATATGGGGTTCCAGGTCCAGAATGGACAGTTCTTCCATATTTCATGCTTACTCATGAATCCTGATTTTAAAATACTGTAATCTCTTCTACAGGTTGATGCTGCCATCTACTGGAAATACTTGCATATTTTTAGAGCTGATTTGATTACTTCAGATCTTAAATATTTTAAGATTTTAAATGTATTAATAACTATAAACCAAAATTCAGTATTTTAAAAAATACAAGTAGATCTTTCCAGACTTTCACCTGTAGGTCACAGATTTGCTAGAAAAAAGTACTAGGTGAATTTCTGCTATTAATCCCTGCCTTTACAGAGAGAAGTCGAGACTACTTCCCCAGTTTGTCTCACTTTTTACTATCATAGGCACATTTTCTCCATGGCTGGTGAATGATACTAAAGCTCCTTCCAAGTGTGTAAATTGGGTTTTTTCTCTGAATATTCTGAAGGTGCCTCTCTTTGCATGGTCTATGAAGAAAGTTTAATTATACAGTTCTCCTATCTTTGATCTCTTGGCACGTAAAATTTAGTCAGCATGAATACCCATGCTGAAAATTAGCACTTAAACATTTGAATAAATGAGGTATGTTTTGTATCACTAGAGTAATTTCTGGAAAGTAAAATAGTAATTTCTGGTTATTTAAATTAAACTGTAACAGTATGCTCAGATGAAATAATATTTTGCATTTCTAAAAAGAAGAAAATTAACTCTATCCCAGCCGAAACCAGGACTCTTTCATAGAAGAATACTGAGGTAATGTCTGGAGCAAGCACCCAAGTTTGTTCCTTGAGCATGGAGCCTTATGCAACCCTCCCTTATAAATGTCCTTTATTTGGGGGCTATAAATCTGGTCTACATCTGTATTACTAATGCATTACGTATCATCTGATTTCAGAATCAAAGGGGTCTGCAGCTGCTTTGTACTTGGGTGGGAAACCACTTGGTGCAAGCCAGGGAGCCGTGGTTGAATGCTTGGCAAATATCAGAAACCAGAAACTAGAAAGACAATAAGGTGACAGATTTTATAACCTTTATTTACTTCAGAGTATTCAGCTAATCTCTTCCTGTAGTGATTTTTCACTGAACCTTTGTTTTGTGAACTGGGATTATTGCTACCTATGTTATATCTATCAGGATTTAAGATTTATAGTGGTACAGCGATCCAGAATTGTTGCATCATTTATCAAGTAGTACTTAGTAATTTTTGTGATGATCTCTCCCAGTCTTACGTTAATTAATACATAAAATAATTTTGTACAACTGCAAAGATGTCCCTTTTTAAAGCAAGTGGTACGTTAGGAAAACATCTTTGGATGTTGTTTGGT